ATGAAGTATAATTTCGCTCATTTTTTTTAAATTTTAAATTTTTTTATTCGCGGACCACATAAGATGAGTCCACGGACCACCAGTTGGGAACCACTGATTTAAGTAGTCCCATACAATTGAAATATGCATTCTTGCAAATAACTTATTTATGTATTTATTTATAATTATTAATCTTTAATAATTTTGTTTTTACTTTATTGTTTTATTACATTTTCTATATTTATAATTAAATAGCTTACAGTGTTTTTATTTACAAGGGTAATTAGTTTAATTACCCTTATAATTTAATTAATTTGTTTGTAGATCGGGTTTAGTAGTTGTAAAGATATTAAATATTTACGACGCATCTCACATGTCTGCTAAACTATTGTCTGTGAATTCCACATTAAATATTAATGATGAACAAAATTGGTCAAAAGTGAAAGATAAATCTAATCTCATAGAATTCAAGTTAAAGTCATTTTATGCAGACTATAATTCTAGGTATATTTCAAATAAACCAAATATATTTAAACAATATTGTATTGGATTTTTGTATTGTAGAATTATCCACAAGGAGCCTAGCATTGGGGATATAGTTGCAGTATTGTCGGAAACAAAAACCGGAAATATAATGAATTCTGTATACCTACGGGGAATCATTTTAAATTTAAATGACACACAAACTATGGACCCAAAAGTGACCGTTAAACTAATAGATCAAGGGCGTGTTGAAATTGTATCAGTAAATGACATTTAATTTTATTATATTGTTGAATAATTTTTATTGATATTCTAAAAGTATTTTAAATTATGGTATTTAGAAATCGAAACTATTTGTATTACCCGATATGTTAAAAAGTATAGAAACAGATACTGTAGATATAATTTTGGCATCTGTGAAACCAATTGACAATGATAAATCATGGTGTAATTATGCTAACTTTGCTGTTAAAAAGCAATTCAAATATTTTGAAGAGTGTGGTGATACTGTTATTGTCAAGGTGAGATATTTTCCATAAAATGTCTTTATGCAAAAATTATTTTAACATATTTTTAGGTTAAAATGACACTGGAAAGTACCATATGGGCAAAATCTATATACAGAAAATATTGGGATACTAAATTGAAATCATATACTATTGTGGAAATTTTACCAGCCTTGTTGCTTAATACTGGTTATGCTAATTTAAATTTTGATCATATAGAAACAATAAAAGAACTTAGTATTTCAGCTGGTATTAATACTCCCGCTCCTATTAGCTTATTACAAAATCATGACCAAGAAAAAACTAAAAATTGTAATTTTAACTATTCATTTTATGTATATGTACATAATCTGTATTTTATTTTATATATTTAATAAAAATAATAAATTAATTTTCAGATAAATTTGGATTAAAAGAATATATGTCATTTTACAAGTTGCCTCAACCTCAATGGGCATATTTTGATGAAGATTGTACTTGTGTTTCTGTTGAGCATATTTGTGATCCAAAAACATTTTTTGTGCGAAACATCAAATACTTAGATCTGTAAATAATTGTAAAATTGAGTAAACAATTTAAATATAGTGGTTAATACTATGATATAAAAATGCAATTTTTGTTTTACAAAGTTTATTTTCATTCTTGTTGAAAATTAACATTTTTAAATACTATCATAATGATATTTATTATTTGTGTTTTAGATTTTGTGAAATTCAAAAAAAAATTGAAAATTATGTTGAACAAAAACTAGTACAAACGTTACAGTTGACACATATAGTTGAAGAAGCAATTTGTTTAGCTAAATATAGAAGTACAGATAAGTAATAAGAATTTTCAATTAAACATAGTCTAATTTTATTGTGATCTATTATAATTATTATGATAAATTTATTATCAATCCTTACTCCTCCAGTTTAAATTCTAAACCCATTATAATTAGAGCAGATATTTATGTATCCTAAAAACCTATTAAATATGTAAATTAATAATTAATGTATGCTAATTAAATATTATTTATTTTTCAAATTCTAAACAAAAAAATGTTTTAAGTTTCACTTTTTTTATTTTAAAAAAAAGTTAATTTACAATAATAATAGTTATTACAACTAATATAACTCCGATTGGTATAAACCACGACTGATAACTTAAGAAAATCAAATAACCAAGACCAAAATATATTATAAAATGTATAAATTATAAATTATTTGATATTTAAATAAAAAAATAATGAGAATGTGAAAAAATATAAAAATATATTTGAATTTTACATTTAAATTAATTAAAATCATTGATTATTGCAGCACATTATTATTGTATAATTATTTTTTAACTGTTGATAATGATAAACTGTATATTTTCCACATTAAGTAGTTCAAATAATATCCATTAGTAACAATTGTTTCACTTTAAATTGCAAATAGTAAATATTAAATAGTAAATCTAGTTTTAATGTTTTGCGCATACATATATTTAACATTATTGAAAGAATATTGTTTACGAATCTGTTTTGCAAAGAGGTTTTACTATCTGAAAATCAAAAGTTAATCGCTTAATGTAAAAGGAAATAGGTAAAATAGTTCAAAAAATTGTTAAAATAACTGATTCCATAATGGTAAAAAAATTATAATTTAAATTTAAATTAAAAATTGTATGGGTAAATTATTTTAGCATGATAAAAGAATCATCTTGCATATTATGAGCTTATAATTAATATTTATTATGTGTCACAGGTACTATAGAGTTAAAATAATTGGTACATCGAATACACTTGTCGATGTTATATATGTCGATTTAGGTGAAATGTATGAAATCCAACCAAATTCATTGCTTACAATACATCCTGACTTGGTTGTACAGTTACCATTCCAAGTAAATGTGATACTTTGATGGATTAAATCATTTTAAACCAATATATATATTATAAGTGTGTGCAAATGTAAAATATATTAATACAATTTATTTTCTAGGCAATAGAATGTAGTTTAAGTGGCTTTAAGAATGAAAAACTTACAGAGAACATACTCAACGAACTAATTAATTTTTTTTTTGACTTGACAGACAATTATATGAGTTTAAAAGTATGTAAATTACCTAATCGAACATAATCTCTAAGAGACCATGACCCGGAACAGCCTGTCGTCAAATTTATGAATAATCTATGTGCTTGTTGATATCTATTTTATTTATTTTAGATTTTTTTTAAATCTTTAACTTTTTAAATTTTTAGGTTGTCAATAATGTTGGATTAGCGGAATTAACTGGTGGCAATCATTACGAAGTGGTTTTATACAATAAAGATTTTGTTGTAAATTTAGAGCTGCAGAGTAAATTCAGTCAACATTGTGACGATATTCAAATGTCTAAATTATCAGATATTGTCAACTACACACCAGATACTTTAAATGCAGGTACAATTTTAAATCCAGATAACATTTTAGATGAAGATTTGACTGGTGAATCGTGTTCAGTACATATGCAGCTTTTTGAAGAACTGGGACTTTTAAAATGGGTAAACTAATCAAGTATTGCTTATATCTGTATTATGTTATACGTCTTAATAACTGTAATATTAAAAAAAAAAAAAAATTTAATCGACTATTGTAAATTATTTTCAGTTTAATTTGAAATGGGAGGAAAATACTTTATTGGCAATTGATGAAAACATACAAGAAAACGATTTAAAAGAAGAAAAAGAAAAAGAAGAAGAAGAAGAAGAATCAATTAAAACAAAAATTGAAACCAAAAATGAAAATGCAAATAGCTATAAATTTGTTGAGACAGTTGAAAAAATTAAACCTGTTGATTTAGCACTGCCTGAAAAACCATCTAACTCAAAAATCACCAAATTGAAACCACGTAAAACCAATAAAGTTATTTGTTTGACGTGCAATACTAATTTACAATCAATTACACCCATTTGTATTTGGTATCAAGTTGAAAATAATATTTATTTAAAATTTAATATCCTTAAAATCGACAATTTCCGTATCAACTATACAGACAATTGTTTGTTGTTCAAGTAAAGACTATTTTTATATTGTACACATGTAAAACAAATGTTTTATTATGGTGAATGTTTAATTTTAAGTGCAAAGTTTGATGATCTAACATATAATTTTACTGCTAAGCTGTTTGGATTGATTATTGAAAACTCTATTACACACAAAATAACTTACGAAGGGTTTCATATTAAAGCTGAAAAACAATATCAAATGAGTATGTATATTATAAATTATTCAACACTAGGTTGGCTGGGTAAGCTCAACGTATTAATATAAGTATTCTAAATATATTCTGGGTCGAATCAAAATAGTTTTATTTTGATTTGTTGCTGAATCATACTAGAATTTTAAAATTAATTTTTTAATAAACAATGTTATCTGAATAAATGCTTTTAATAATTAATAAGATTGTGTCACTTGTGACATTAAAATATAAAGACTTAAAGTTTTATTACGTTATCTGCAATCATTTTTTCAAATTAAGATTATTTGTGTTTTTATAATGTGAAAAATTGAACTATCATTGTTAAAAATCTAATGATCTAGTAAAACAATCTAGCTATTTTATTTATACCCTAATAACCAACTATAAAAGTGCTAATATTTAGTTAGTAATATTAACAACTTCCTATTTCTACTAAAATTTTGTCAGTGTATATAGTTGAAAACTAGATAATTGTATTGTCTTTAAATCCTATATTACAAAATCCACAAAAAATGTAATTTTTTATTTCACTATTGACATGCACCATAAGTTCTTGAAGTTCAGATTAGTGACAAAATGAAAATGTTTAGTTTAGGTCTATTAAGATGGTAAATAATCAATATTTTTTCATTGTAAAATAATTAAAGTATTTGCTATTTGTTTAGAATATAAATGGCCACGGTTGTTCAATTGTAATAAGTGGCATAAGTATTTGATGTACGATCCAGAGCATTTAGAAATCAAATATAACAGAACATTACAAATAAGAAGTATAATAATTCCAAGTTTTTTTATTATTAAAATTAGTTATTATATTGTTATTTATGTATACATATTGTAATGGGATTTTTTTTTTTTTTTTTTTTTTGTAGCCATCAATAAGTATAAAATGTTGGCCACAGGATCTTCTATGATTTTGGATTCAAAGAGTTCAGATTCAGATACAGATGATGATGATTTTATTGGCGTGGTATGCGAAGATTAAACATATATTCTTTAGTATCTTGCATTATAAATTAACCTTTTTTTTTTTTATCATTTTTATTGATTTTGTTTAGCTTATTTAATTTAAAATACAAAATACAATCAATTTTGAATAAGATGTAATTATTTGTTTTACATATTATTTCAATCCTTTTTACTTTTACTTGTTACAAATTTACATTTTATTATAAAGAAGTGTTTCTGTGTGTGCATGTATATCTGTGATTTTACTACAGTCAAATATATGACAGATCTGATTCTGCTGAATATTGTTTTTTTTGATTTTCATAATATTATCTCCATTTTATACTGTTAGAAAAATGTTTGATTTACTCTAATGTCTATTTGTACCAATTCATATTAAAACTTGACTTCACTTAGCATTAAGTTATTCTTAAATTAAGATGAGGTTATGGTTGCGTGGCAATATCTATTTTTAAGAATACTTAGTTAAGGAACACTTAAGATCATTTTCAGGGGTTTAGGTCCTAACTTCAAACAGTTTCTTCACCAATTTATTCCACAAAAATAAAATCATCATCATCATTCCAATGGTACTTTAGAGATTTCTAAAGTATTCAATGAGAATGACAAACCCTTTATTAAAGGGGAAATTCTCATTACTACAAACAATCGAATAATAACCACATAAAACTAAAAACAACGTTGAACCTAAAACGAAATACGGAAACAATTTTATTATTTTAGGAAACGGGCCAAGTTCAAATAATCCAATATAATTTTTTCGTCGAGTAGGTTTATGTGTAATATAATATTATAGAACAATGGTTTTATTTTTCCATAAAAACATAAAATACAACACGTAATATTAATAAATAGGTAACTCTATATCATCTAACATTGAACAATAACTATTATTATAATAATATATTTTAAAGATAAATGTAGTATCATTGACTTATATTCAATGGTAGTACTTACACAAAAATTAATAAGTATAATAATTAATTATCATTAAAAACTTACACAATTCCAAAAAATATTTATTATTTTTTTTTCAAAAATAAAGTACATACATTTTATTAGAACGATTAACAAAAAGAAAAAAATACATATATATATGTATAAACGCATGGAAAAAAAATAACGGTAGGTATATTATACAGAAAATGGGATAAGTATTTAACTGTCTAACTTAAAATTTAAGAAAAAGTTTTATTGTAATATTGTTATATTTACGTGTGATGTGTATGCTATTCTTAAAAGAAAAGAAAAAAATGGTCCCGATTTCAGCATTTCAAAAATACTCTGTGTTTTAATATTGTTTAAAGAAAATAACAATAATAATTAATGTTTTATAAGTAGGTATAGAAACGACAGTTATTCGAATATTTTTCATTGTTACAAAATAAATCATAATAATATCACGCATAGGAACTTTTTTTTTTTTTTGAATATTTATATTGGTATGGATACGCGTATAATATAAATTTTGGTAATAGTACACGGAAAAAAAAAACCGGAAACCGCTCCGTCGGTCAGAAATCATAACCACCGTCGTCTTCCGGGTAATGTGTGGTGGGGGTGGGTGGGGGGAAACGATAATTTAATAATGTCAGTTAAAAAAAAAAAACAAAAAAAAAATTGTCATATTGTTTAGAAATGCGATTGGTTTTTTTTTTTTTTTTTTTTTTTTTTTACTCTAAAGAAAAGGAAATATTAAGTAAAATAATAATAATAATACGGTATTTACAAGAGCAAAAACGCGATGAGAAATATTTACATAAAAAAAAAAAAAAAAAAAAAAAAACAAAAAAAAAAAA